TGTATTCAAGAATCTCATCCAAACTACATTACATTTAGCAGTTAAGCCTCCTTAAGTTCCTCTTGGCTATGACAGTTTCTCAGATATTCCTTGTTTTAGATGACCTTGATAGTTTTGAGTAGTATTGGTCAGGTATTTTGTAGAAGGTCCCTCAACTGGGATTTGTCTGATGTTTTTCTCACGATTACACTGGGTTTATAGGTTTGGGAAAGACCACACAGGTAAAGTGCCATTTTCATCACTTAATATCAATGGTTCATACTGTCAATGTGACATCACGGTTGATGTTAACCTTCATCACTTGGCTAAGACAGTGTTTTTCAGGCTTCTCCACAGTAAAGTTTTCTTCTCTCCTTTTCTATATTGCATTCTTCAGATGGAAGTCACTCTACCCAACCCACATTTTAGGAATAAAGAGTTATACTTCACCTCTTGAGGGTAAAGTATGTATCTACTTCAATCATTTGGAATTCTTCTGTAAGGGAGACTTGTCTCTTCTCCCCCATTTTCTAATTTATCTGATCATTTATTTACATCAGTATGGACTCATGCATATTTATTTTATATTTTGAGTCATGACAGACTTTTATTTTTCTGCTCAGTATGTTCCAGTTTTGGCCATTAACAACTCTTTTATTTGGCTCCTATGCCCGTTTGATGCACCCCCATCTATGTGTTGTGTGGCTTCTTTGTTCTTTTTTGGGTTTTTGAGCACTTACTTAATTACCAGCAGTATAAGGCTCATATTTCTTGGCCCGTTTCTAGAAATCAGTCATTTCTCCAAGGACCCCCTGCTCCTTTAATTGCAAAATGGTATTAGAAATTAAGATCTCTGGGGTGTCATTGCTTGTAAGCCCCTTGGATAACATTTTTTTTTAAGAGACAGCATCTCACTCTGTCATCCAGGCTGGAATGCAGTAGCACAATCATTGTTCATGGTAACCTTGAACTCCTGGGCTTAATCAATCCTCCTGTCTCTGCATCCCAAGTAGCTAGGATTATAGGAATGTACCACCACACCTGGCTAATCTTTTAAAAAAAATTTTGTAGAGCGAGACAGTGTGTCACTGTGTTGCCCAAGCTGGTCTCAAACTCCTGAGCTCAAGCCATCCTCCCACTTCAGCCTCCCAAAGTGCTGTGATTACAGGTATGAGCCACTACACAAAGCCAGGATAACTTATTTTTACTTCTTACCTAAATATGCAGAAATAGGGGAAGGTTGGAAATACCAGTTTATAAATAAAATGTTTAAATCTTTTATAACAATAAGAGCAATAGGTTGTATCATATAGTCAAGGTTTGTAGTAGGCTATGCTATCTAGTTTTATGTAAGTACACTCTATGATGTCTGCACAATAACAGTATCTCTTAATAGTGCTTTTCTCAGAATGTATCCTCATCATTAGGCATATGAGAATAAATGAATAATTATGAACATGGGCTAGTTGAAAGAACACAGGAATACTACCAACTTTGTGTAAATATTTTTACCTTGTTTGTACAAATTCTAGAATAATGGTTTTATAGGACTATGAAGGTTATTTAATAAAAATTTAAGGCTGGACGCTCATGCCTGTAATCACAACACTGTGGGAGGCCAAGGTGGGTGGATCACTTGACATCAGGAGTTCGAGACCAGCCTGGCCAACATGGTAAAAATCCATCTCTACTAAAAATACAAAAAAATTAGCCGGGCATGGTGACGTGTGCCTGTAATTCCAGCTACTCGAGAGGCTGAGGCAGGAGAATCACTTGAATCTGATTCAGGAAGGCAGAGGTTGCAGTGAGCTGAGATTGTACCACTGCACTCTGTCTGGTTGACACAGAGAGACTCTGTCTCAAAAAAAAAAAAAAAATTTAAGATTTGTGACACTGGGTGCAATGGCTCACGCCTGTAACCCAACACTTTGGGAGGTTGAAGCAGGAGAATCACTTTGGACCAGCCTGGGCAACATATCAAGACCTTTTTCTCTATCAAAAAAAGTTTTAAAAGAGTTTTAATTGAGTAGCTGCAGTCCTAGCTACTCAAGAGATTGAGGTAATAGGATTACTTGAGCCTAGGAGTTCAAGGCTGCAGTCAGCTACGATAGTGCCACTGTACTCCAGCCTGGGCAACAGAGTGAGACCCTGTCTCTAAAAAGAAAACAGAACATAAGATTTGCGATTATAGGCCGGGCGCGGTGGCTCAAGCCTGTAATCCCAGCACTTTGGGAGGCCGAGACGGGCAGATCACGAGGTCAGGAGATCGAGACCATCTTGGCTAACATGGTGAAACCCCGTCTCTACTAAAAATACAAAAAACTAGCCGGACACCTGGCGGGCACCTGTAGTCCCAGCTACTCGGAGGCTGAGGCAGAGAATGGCATAAACCGGGAGGCAGAGCTTGCAGTGAGCTGAGATCGGGCCACTGCACTCCAGCCTGGCCACAGAGCGAGACTCCGTCTCAAAAAAAAAAAAAAAAAAAAAAAAAGATTGCAATTATAAGCCGAGGTGGGTGGGTGCGTGCCTGCAGTCTGAGCTATTTGGGATGCTGAGGTGGAAGGATCACATGAACCCGAGTTCAAGGCTGCAGGGAGCTAGATTGTGCCACTGACTTCAGCTTGGGTAACAGAGTGAGACCCCATCTCTAAATATATACACATACATTTTAAAAATTGTGATTATAATTATACTGAAATTATAAGTTTAAATTATCATTATGATTACTGTAACAGTATTTGATTCTTTTTTTTTTTTTGAAGACAGAGTCTCGCTCCTGTTGCGCCCAGGCTGGAAGCGCAGTGGCCGATCTCAGCTCCGGCTAAGCACCGCTCCCAGGGTCCCGCCATTCTCCCTGCCTCAGCCTCCCGGAGGTAAGCTGCGGACTACAGCACCCGCCCACCTCGCCCGCTAGTTCTTGATTTTTTAGTAAGACGGGTTTACACCGTGTTAGCCAGGATCGGTCTCATCCCTATCTCTATCCGCCCGTCTCGGCCTCCCAAAGTGCTGGGATTACAGGCTTGAGCCACCGCGCCCGGCCGCAGTATTTGATTCTTTTACAGTATGATAGAGAAATAGATGAGAAATAACCTGGGAAACTACATTATTAATTTTGTGCTTCTGTAAGACCATTCCACATACTTACAGTTTTGTAGATATACTTACATGCTGGGTAAATTTTATTGCCATAAATGTTTATTAAGTTGTACTTCTGTGAGAGACTACAGTATGTTAATTCCTTTCAGGATGAGTTCTAAACAACCTCCCATTTTGTATGAATGAATGAACAAAAAAAGCAATGAACTTGAGATTTGTTCAATTATATACAATTAATCAGTAGAAAAACTGTTACATAGATATGCTTTTTGCACTAAGATTAAACTCATCTATTCACTAGCAACACAATATTACTGGTATAAACAGACTACTCAAAATTCTGTACTGCCAACCAACAAATATATTAAGTCTTGCTATAAGCTTAGCCAAGCATATGGAGAATATAGAAAATTTACCAGTAATGGTTCTTCCCTCAGTACTTACAGAAGAAATTCTTGAAAAGGCAAAAATTCAACTGTTAAGAGACAATTACAGCACAATAGACAGACTTTAGAGCATATTTTAAAATAATTTAAATATATGCATTAAAAGCTACTCTTTCAGAAAAATGTGATTACACTTATTTTTCATGTAGATGTATTGGCTGAACTTGCTCCTTTTGATAATTACTAAAGTATGTCATTTATTTATATTCATTTTCTCTAATGATATACAGCATATTCTCTGTGTTAGTATATCTCACACCTAAACAAATTAAGCATGGGTGGGCACGGTGGCTCGCATCTGTTATCCCAGCACTTTGAGAGGCTAAAGTGGGCAGATCACCTGAGCCCACAAGTTTGAGAGAGCCTGGGGAACAGGGCAAAACCTTGTCTCCACAAAAAAAAATATAAAAATTAGCCAGGTGTGGTGGTGCATGCCTATAGTCCCAGACAGCTACTTGGGAGGCTGAGCTGGAAGGATCACCTGAGTCTAGGGATGGTGAGGCTGCAGTGAGCTGTGATCACACCACTGCTCTCCTGCCTGGACAACAAGAGTGAGAACCTGTCTCCAAAAAAAAAAAAAAAAAAGTTAACTCCAAGCCATGAAGAAACCTTGGCCCATTATTTATTTTTTCCATTTCTTCATCACATTTGAGCTTTCATCATTGATGATCGTAGTCATTTTTCCATTCTTTGGTTGCAGAACAATATACTATTTATGTGCTCCTTCAAGACTGATAGAATAACTGACTGCCATTAACACCTACCTTTTCAAGAGCTGACCATCTGATCTATATATTATTCAAGCTCTCTCCTTTGTCTCCTGAGTTGCTCGACTTTAATGCAATTTATTTTCCTGTCTGTAATTTTAAAACATTTCAGGCTGGGTCCTGTGGTTCACATCTTCTAATCCCAACACTTTGGGAGGCTGAGGCAGGAGAGCTGCTTGAGCCCAGGAGGTTGAGGCTGCAGTGAGTCCTGATCGTGCCACTGCACTCCAGACTGGGCAACAGAGTGAGATTCTATCTCAAAAAAATTAAAAAGAAGAAATTCAAGCATATAGAGAAGTAAAACAGAAATAATGAACACTGTGTGTAGATACCTTCCTCCTAAATTCAACAAATGTTAACACTTTGCTATATGCATTTCACAACTTTTCAAAACAGAAATATGAATCTTAAATTCAGCTGGGAAAAAAAAACAGAAATAAAACTTTAGATGAATGAAAATTCCCTCAGCTGGAGCTCAGAACATCAGCCTCCATTCTGCACATCCATATCTTTCAGGACTGTTTCCTACATGTATAAACTACCCCACTACAACCCATGGTGATTCCTTTTTTCTCTAAGCCCTACCTACTTGATTATCTAATATAGGGAATGTTTGGTTTTTTTCTGTGAGAATTTCCCCTATCCTGAGCTTAAAGCGGACTATGAGTAGTTAGCACCCTGATCACACACTGCTCTATGCCCTAATTCTGTATTGGCTGTTTGCTGCCTTTGTCTAGAGACTTAAGGTGAAAACCATCTTAGCTGAGGTGAAGGGCAGTGAAAAGTATAGCACAGTACTGAATGAGAAGTACATAGAAATATGAATTGATAAAAGAAAGGATCTCTCCATAACTATACAAGCTCCAGTTAAATTAACAGTTGTAGCCTTAGTTTTACTAATGATTGTATTTGGACGTTAGTCTATAAAATAATTCACCTCCCATAGGAACAATGTTACAAGATGATTAAGTCTCCTCACTTCCCAGCCCTAACCTAGTAGGGATGCTTTTAATGATTGAAGACTGGGATGTGGGAAAGTCAGCAAGGAGAAAGTGACAGAGATCAAGTTCAGAAGTCCTTGAATCCAGAGTTGATGAAAGGCTGGGAGGTGAAGCACAGGGGTTCTGGGAGTCTAAGAAGTCAAATGACACTTTGGGGATCATCAATCACTATGAAGTTGATCCTTTACTGTGCCTTTCTGCCTCACACTGTCCCTTCCTATAACTTGTTACCTGCAGCTATGTACTCTGCCTTTGCAGGTGGATGAGAAAGTGGGGGCTCCTTCCCTCAACCCAGCCTTGCATTGCTGGAATAAAAAGCCTGAGTTCCCAAAGGTGGATCCATGGGCAGTCTCTGCAATGGAGCAGCGCAAAGTGGAGAGGTAGGGAAAAAGAGCTTTGTAAACTGAAGCTCTGGAAGTCAGAAACCTCTCACGTTCAGCTTCTCTGATTACATAGCTCATCTTTCCTCCTCATCTAGACTGGATGTCCCACTGTCAGAGACAATGAACACATAAAACTTGATTGAAATATTTTAGGAAATAACACTACACAAATAATTCAAAAGATATTAGACTTGAATTATCTTTAAAAGCCCGAGCAGTCCCTCTCACTCTCTCACTGTTTACATTAGGAGAACACAGATGCTCAGTTAACATCGTTTGCCTAAGGTGAGAATTAAAGACAGAGCTGAGGCTTGAATTAAGAGTCTCCAGAAACCCAGTCTCAAAGACAGTGTCCTCCTCTATTAAATGTCCACCTCTATACCCTTGTGCCGGACCAGAGCTAAGCATGAGGCACATACTCAATATAAATGGGTCAACTGACTTGTCTAAATGTAATCTGTGGGCTTTGAAGCCCTATTCAAATATACCTTTTTTTTTTTTTTAAACTAAGATCGTTAGCAAGCAAATATCTTCAAACAGCTTTTAATCAAGCTTTTAGTACTGTATATTACCTTCCCTTCTCAAACTAACTTAAACTCACTTTAATTCCACACTCACTGCATCATACTCAAAAGCATTGCTAATTTTCTTTTCTTTTCTTTTTTTTTTTTAAATCTTTCTTTTGCCTCATGCTGTGCTAATTTAACCTCATTTTGGTAAACAAGAAAATGGTCCTTGTTTGACAGACTCTAGCTGCAGCAACTGCAGCTGGCCTATATGCAAACCAATTTTGTTCATTCTTTATCCTGGCAGGGAGCCCTGCCCTAGAATTGTTTTAGGGCTAATCAGCATTAAACCTGCGTCAGAAAGGTTGCTGAAAGCAGCCCTAGAGCAAGACCACAGCAACAAGACTCTTCAGGAAAGGGATGAAGACAAATGCAGCAGCTGTGTAGAAATCGATGGGAAGACTTTTGTTCATGAGAGTAAAAAGTGGAGCCTAGCTTCTTTTCTGTGCTTTAGCACTTATACTGTGGAAATGACTTCGAAAGGAGATATGGAAGACAACGATGCACCAAATTTGCTCTATTTCTTTCTTTCTGAGTGCTTGGTGATTAGCCAGAAAATGTTACTAACTTCAGATGGTAGCAAATGGTAAAGAAATTAAATGTGCATCCTCTGCTACTCTCTGAAGTTGACAATACTGCATGACTCCTCTTCGGATATTCTTGTGAGTTAGCATGATTTTCTTTAAGATGAACCTGAGGTACAAGAAACAGATGTGCATAACACCTTGAGTAGATATAAACAACTCTGTCTAAAAACTCTGTTAATGGATAAATTTCTCAACAACAAATGATTAAATATTGGAGTGGTTTTCTTTCTACTCAAAAGAAGGCCACTACGCTTCCCTAAATGCCACCAGATCTGTGGGGCTCACACAGAAGTCAAAAAAGGACAGTCCATTTTTGTCTGATCACCGTAGTTCTTGAACATATGGTTGCTTTCTGTCTGCTCACTTACCTCTCATTAAATGACTAGTAAGTCAGTAACTCCAACAGTTAAGCATGTTCAGATTGTTTTTTTAATAACAGCTTTATTGAGCTATATTGCACATACCCTAACACCCACCCTTTTTTTTTTTTTTTGAGATGGAGTCTCTGTCGCCCAGGCTGGAATGCAGTGGCTCAGTCTCGGCTCACTGCAAGCTCTGCCTCCCAGGTTCATGCCATTCTCCTGCCTCAGTCTCCCGAGTAGCTGGGAATACGGGCACCCGCCACCATGCCCAGCTAATTTTTTGTATTTTTAGTAGAGACGGGGTTTCACCATGTTAGCCAGGATGGTCTCAATCTCCTGACCTCATGATCCACCCGCCTTGGCCTCCCAAAGTGCTGGGGTTACAGGCGTGAGCCACCGCGCCCGGCCACACTCACCCTTTTAAAGTATACAATTCAGTGGTTTTAGTATATTTATAGAGTTGTGCAAGCATCACTACTATCTAATTTTAGAACATTTTCATCACCCCAAAAAGAAACCCTGCACCTCACCTTAGCAGAGAGACTTTTTGATATGGCAGCCAGCCCTGTTTCCTAGGTGTGTTTGTTACCGGTACAGGCATTTCTTGGCCTGTGTCAATTGGAACACTGCAAAAAAATTTTAGTGTTTAGACAATAAATGAAAACCCTCATAAAATGTTTTTCAAATAAGCTTTTTCTCTAGTCCAATCTTATTCATGTACTAGCTTGGAGATTTTCATTGTAGAAATAATTTATCTGCAGAAGAGTTAATAAACACTATCCAACTTACAGATTTCAAAATGAATTGTGATAACATCTACAAAAATCAGTTTCCTGTAGATAGTCTGCACTGAAGTTCTTACTAATAAAATCAACTATAGGGTGCTACAGAACTTTTTAACCTTGTTTCCAAAATATGGGAAGACAATTTAGCATTATTGCAGTTTCCAGGCACTTATAATGAATTAAAATGAAACAGTTGTTAATCATATGCAGCAAATCACTAGCTAGCATAGAAGTTAGGCAGCTAGCATAGAAACTAGGCAGATAATGGAATTGAAATAAACTTAGCAAAGAAAGCAATAGAAAGATAATGTGAGCCATATAAATAACTTAAATTTTTCTAGTAGCTACTTTTTTTTTTTTTTTTTTTGAGACTGAGTCTCGCTTTGTCTTCCAGGCTGGAGTACAGGGGTGCTATCTCGGCTTACTGCAACCTCCGCCTCCTGGGTTCAAGTGATTCTCCTGCCTCAGCCTCCCGAGTGGCTTGCACTACAGGCGTGTGCCACTACGCCCGGCTAATTTTTGGTATTTTTTTTTTTCTATGAGATAATTCTTTTTTATTGTATATATGCATAAATATTTTACATATATATCACACACTACATATCAATCTATAAGTCTTTACACATTGTCAAATTATATATGCTAATTTTTGTTAAGGATACTTGCATCTAAGCTCATGAGAGATATTGATCTGTAGTTTAATTTTCTTTTTTTTTTTTTATGGTTTTTTTTGTTTTTTTTTTTTAATTTATTTATTATTATTATACTTTAAGTTTTGGTATTTTTAATAGAGACGGGGTTTCACTGTGTTAGCCAGGATGGTCTCGATCTCCTGACCTCATGATCCGCCCACCTTGGCCTCCCAAAGTGCTGGGATTACAGGTGTAGCTACATTTAAAAAATAGTTAAAAACAAAAACAAAACAGGAAAATTTCATTATGACAAATTTTACTTCTTGTAGCCAAAATAATGCTCCAACATGTAATAAATATACAAAAATTTTAGTGAGATTAAGTCTTTGAAATCTAGTGAGTATATTACATCTCCACTCATCTCATTTTGAACTAGTCAAATTTCAAATACTCAAGTCACATGTGGCTAAGTGGCTCTCATATCAAATAGCAGCACAGCCTTAGATCATTACAGGTTTTTTTTTTTTCCCCCCATTACTCATAAGGGATTGCCTGGCTATAAGGATGCCAAGGAAAATAACGCTAATTGAATAAAATAGGTGTCAAAAACAACAGAAAAGGTTATATCACTGTTATGTATAGTAAGTTGAGAGATAAGGCATTAGAATTCCACTGTACATTCTGTGGGGTGTGCAGATAAAATTCTTTCTGTTTTTTAATACTTAGAGACAGGGTTTCACTGTGCTGCTCTGGCTGCACTCGAACTCCCGGGTTCAAGTGATCCACCTGCCTCAGCCTCCAGAGTAGCTTGGAAATACAGGCATACACCACTGCACCTGGCTATTCTATCAATACTTATTTTTGTAGACTGAACTGTACAGGGTTAAGTAAAATTATAATTAGAAAGTCGGTGATTGTATTTCAATTAAATTTAAGAAACAGTTTCATTTTTGTCTGTCCTATACAAGATGCCTACATAAAACAGAAACGTGTGTGGGTTTTTTTTAGTGGCTTTTCTACTCCTGTATATCTAGTGTCAGTAAAGACCACTACCATCCATTCAAACCATTAAACCAAGGAATGATTCTTGCTTCCTCCTGCTTCCCCTAGCCCATTTAAATAATTGCCTGTGATGCTAAGTTCCTCTCCATCCCCATGCCTTAGTTTAGGTCCACATCATCTCTAGTCCAGACTACTTCAGGAACCTCCTACCTGTTCTCCCTATCGACCAGACTCCATACTATTGCCAAAATCATCTTCTTAATATGCTAATCTGATCATTACAATCCCCTACATAAAATCTTTCAGTGGCTCTTTATGATTGGATAAAATTTCCTTAGCTTGTAATATAAATTTATATTTGGCCCTTGGCTACCTCTTCAATTCTATTTATTACCCTTCCTCTTCTCTCTCATGTTAGCTGTAGTAAATTATTTGCTGTCATATACTCACCCCTTTCTGCTTTTACAAATGTTTTCCTTCAGTTTAAGACATTCCCCTTCAATCCCTGCCCACTTAGCAAACATCTGCTCCTGGTGCAGTTACATTCTCAGTGAAACTTTCCCCATCTCCCACTAGGAAAAGTTAGATAAACACCTCTAAACTCCGATTTACAGCATCTATCACATTGTGCAGTAGAAAAGGCTAAACTGAGAGTCAATTACCTTTGGAAATTTCTTAGGAAAGCATGGCCATATCAGGAACTAAAATTTGCTGTACTCTGCAGTCCTTCCTAAATTCATGTACCTCCCTTTGAAAGCTGGACTGATCCCAATTTCATAGGTCAGGCAAATACCAAAGAGGTTCTAACTAGTTCAAAATTTAAAAACTACTAAAATTGCTATTATTATTATTGTTTTGAGACAAGGTCTGGCTCTATCACCCTGGCTGAAGAGCAGTGGCACGATTTAGCTCACTGCAACCTCTGCCTCCTGGGCTCAAGCCATCCTCCCCAGTTCAGGCTCCCAAGCAGTTGGGACTACAGGCACACACCACCATGCCTGGCTAACTTTGTGTTTTTTGTCGAGATGAGGTTTCACCATTCTACCCTGGCTGGTCTCATTACTCGTGAGCTCAAGCGACACACCTGCCTGGCCTCATCCTGGGATTACAGGTGAGCCACTGCATACGGCCTTTTTTACTCTTTAACTCTCCAATAGCTTACTGCATTTGTTCAGTTCTTACCTGATCCCAGTAAAGTATCCATGACAAAAACATCTAAATACCTTTCCTTTTTTAGGCAGGAGGGAGAGGGGCTTATATGCAGGCTTTGACTTCCAGTTTTATTGAGGGTGGCTTCATCCCTTAGAACAACTTTGTTGTCGTTCTCAGATCTACAGTGGTGCTGTGAAACTCCCAAGCATTGGGTTATAGGGGACCAATTTGGGACATTCCCTGAGGATGTTAGCATCCCCAGAATAGGAGGGAAGGTGAGATAAATGTGCCTTTTTTTTTTTTTTTTAAAGAAAAAGCTTCACTCTCACCCGGGCTGAAGTGCAGCGGCGTGATCTCAGCTCACTGCGCCCTTCGCCTCCCAGTTTGAAGCAATCATCCCGCCCGAACTTCCCAAGAAACTGAGATTACAGGCATGCACCACCACACCTGGTTAATTTTTGTATTTTTAGTAGAGATGGGGTTTTGCCATGTTGGCCAGGCTGGTCTCAAACTCCTGGCCTCAAGTGATCTGCCTGCCTTGGCCTTCCAAAGTGTTGGGATTACAGGTGTGAGCCACCACACCTGGCCTATTCTTGCAATTTTGGAAGATTTAGGGGGCTGGCAGGAGATAAGACTGAGATTGTTTAGGCCATGCTGTTGCTGACACAACCCCGGCACTTAAATGGGAATGCAGTGGCCTAAGTGTAAGGCAACATATCTCTCAACCATTTCACCAAAACAAAACAAAACACAAAAAACATTTCTGAGTGAATGTCTGGCCATCTTAGTAGCATCTTATTAATCTGTTTTGACATTATCCTAAAAATAAGCTTTTCCTCAAAAAAAAAAAAAAGAGTTGTACAACACTGTGAATGTATTAAATGCCATTAAATTGTACACTTCAGAATGGTTAATTTTATGTTATACAAATTTTGCCTCGATTTTTAAAAATGAAAAAAAGAGTATATGACAAGAAGGGTTACTATAGGATTACCAAAGCCATTACATTTTCCCTCATTTGTATGTACATGACACACTGGTTCTAAAATGTTGCCCAAGAATAGATCTTGAATCCTAAGACTGCTGCGATGGGGCTCTGAGAGAAGAGATTATAATGTCAGAATACTTAGCTCCTAGGATGTGATTAAGTTTATTTGGTTCATCACTAAAGTGGTATCATAGCATTCTTTCTACCATAGTAAAGGAAATGAATCCTAATTAACATCTGTAATAGCTCAGTGGGCCTCTTTGTCTTTTAAGTGAAAACTACTGAGCCCCTTTGTTTTTGGATCATGTCATAGAAACATTGGTGGTACAATTCAAGTGGTGAGGAATCAATTAATGCATGGAATAAAAAAAGAGCTGAAAAGACAGTAGTAAACATAGGGCTAATTTATGAATTATCGTATTTTTAATGAAATTACCTTTTATTAGGAAACTCTAAGAGGTCTATTTCTCTCCTTTTGAATTTGGGCTTGCCTTGTGACCAGCAGAATATGGCAGAAATGCCACTGTGACAGTCCTAGGTCCAGCCCTTAAGAAAGTCCTGGCAGCTCCTATTGTTTCTATCTTATAATTCATTTAAGAAGCCTGGTTGGGACGGGCATGGTGGTTCACACCTGTAATCCCAGCACCTTGGGAGGTGCAGGTGGGCAGATCACAGGTCAGGAGTTCAAGACCAGTCTGGCCAACATGGTGAAACCCCATCTCTACTAAATATACAAAAAATTAGCTGGGTGAGGTGGCACACACCTGTAATCCCAACTACTCGGGAGACTGAGGCAGGAGAATCGCTTGAACCCAGGAGGCGGAGGTTGTAGTGAGCCAAGATCATGTCATTGCACTCCAGCCTGGGTGACAGGGCGAGACTCTGTCTCAACAAAAAAAAAAAGAAGAAAAAAAAAAATACATAAGCCTGGGCTAACCTAGAATAGTAAGAATGACATGTAGAAGTGGGGAGAGGCCTGCCTGGGCCCCAGACATTACAGTCACCCAAGTCAAACGACAGAAGATATTGTGAAAATCCAGCCACATTAGTTACCCCAGCTGACACCATGTGAAGCAGAACGTCATGAGAATTTGCATTTGATAAATCAGAATTTTAAGAAATAGTATCTCACTGGTGATTTAAGCCACTGTTTGGAGTAATCAGTGAAACCTCAACAGATAACTGATATATCCCACACATTTCTTAACCAATTTTCAAGTAGAACCATAGATTTAGAATTAGAATTGTATCTCTGCTAGTTAAACTGACGATCACTCTGATCCCAAAGAATCCTTTTTTTTTTTTTTTTCCTGAAACGGAGTCTTGCGCTGTCCCCCAGACTACAGCGCAGTGGCACAATCTCAGCTCACTGCAACCTCCGCCTCCTGGGTTCAAGCGATTCTCCTGTCACAATTCTTCTGTCTCAGCCTCCTAAGTAGCTGGGATTACAGGCGCATACTGCCGCATCTGGCTAATTTATTTTGTATTTTAGTAGAGATGGGGTTTCATCATGTTGCTGCCCAGGCTGGTCTCAAACTCCTGAGCTCAGGCATTCTGCAAGCCTCAGCCTCCCAAAATGCTAGGATT